ACTGTAAAGTTTGACTATTATATAGCCAGTACAATAGTACACTGCTAATACCAGCCTCCTGGTGTAGATGTAACCGTCTTATTAAATAAGAAACACAGAGCCAATTGCAGAGTTAAAAGCCCAAAAGGTCAGAGCTAAGAGCTAAAAACCCTTTCTTACCCTACTGCCACTGCTGTCCTTCCTCTCAGCAAGAGCCCTACTTCCTGTCTGTATGTCCTTTTGTTGATTTTCTGTTCTGCCTTCTCATTGGTTGTAAACCCAACCACATGACCTCCTTGTCACTGCCTGTCTATGCAGACCTCCAGGTCTTCTATGGTTGGTATGGAGATTAAAGGCATGTGTCTCCATGCTGGCTATGTCCTTGAACTCACAGAGATCTACCTAACTCTGCCTCCTACGTGCTGGAATTAAAGGTGTGCACCACGACTGCCCAGCTTCTACTATGGCTTGTTATTAGCTCTGACCCCCAGGCAACTTTATTTATTAACATACAAATAAAATCACATTTCAGTACAAATAAAATACCACCATATCCTGGGCTTCATAGTGTTTACAACAGCATATTCACTAAAGCTGTTTCTTACTGAAGCATTTTAAAAGAACATTAGGTGGTATCTTCCTGCAATGTATTTAAATACTTTTCATCCATAAAAATAAGGACATTGCTTACCTATAAATTCTATTCTTAACTACCAAAATGAATAATTCCTTTATATTCTCAGCCATGTCATGAACACACTCATCCATATTCCCCAAACATCCTTTGTTGTATGTTGTCTGTAGGGCTTGGTCATGGTTTTGGTTATCATGTTTGGGGAGAATTGTTCCCTACTTATGTGTCCCCATGAATCTTGCTATTCCCTCTCACCTTACACAATGACATTGAATGGTCCAAGACTGTGCCAGTTTGACCTGTAGACTATACCACCTTTTAGATTTGTCTAAAACTATGAGTCCTGAATTCTGTAATGCTGTACCGAGTAAATGCATCAATTCATGAACTCTTAAGGAAGTTGAAAAGGCCCTAATAAGGAATGAGAAATTTTTGATAAAAAGCAGTGTGTGTGTGTGTGTGTGTGTGTGTGTGTGTGTGTGTGTGTGTGTGTGTGTCTGGTGTGTGGATCTGTATATCTGTGTGTGTCTGTGTGTATATATGTGTGTGTTGGGAGCATGTTAAATGATGACTAAATTACTAGAGGTACTTCACCTTCTCATGTCCCATCTTCCTTCTTCCTTAGACAGAGATCTCTCTGTGATAGTCTTGGAGTGTAATAACTCATTATTCTAGAACACAAGACTTGATAAAGAACAAACAATAACTGTCATTAGCATGGGCTTCATATCAACTCTGACCTGAGCCTCTGTCTACTCACTTGGAAAAGAAAAACCTTCTTCTTCCAGGTGCCCATACTATGCTCCTCAGGATAAAGACATAACAAAATCTTTTATTGCTGGAACAGCCTAGTTCATCAAATGACAATGACTGTGGGTGTTCTTGTTGATAATGGTGGTCATTGATGCTCTAGCCTAGATCTAAGGAGCTCAGGAAAAGGACCAGTATAGCAATGGAGCTGGTCATCGAGCATCCCATTCTGTTCTTGGATAAACCTACCACTGGCTTAGACTTGAGGACTACAACTGATGTCATCTCAGTCCTGAGAAGGTAAGTGCTGAAGGAACATTAAGTTTTATTCACTCAATACCTGATCACTTGTGTGCATTTTTGGTGCAGGATACTCAGAAGTAAGCCACAGAATTTCTTCCTTTTTTATTAGAGGGAAACTTCAGTTAACAGGGAACACACATCAAGAACAATGAGACAAGAGCATAGGGAAAGATGGCTGTGGGGAAGGTGGAGCACTGCTTTAAATAAATGTCCCCATAACCCTCAAGCAAGTGACAAGTGAGTTGAGGATGAGTGGGTGAGATCTGAACAGAGGGCTGTATGGAGGGAAAAGGCATTTGTTCTGAGGCAAAGCATGTTTGATGTATCTCCTGAGGCCTGTCTCACTGAGCTGTGGATGGTGTCTCCTTTCTCTTTATGTATCTATGCCCTGATCTTAAATGGAACCAAGTTACATTAGGACATACTAGTAATGAGGACCTTTAGGTGCCAGCCCTAAAGGTCTCTTTCAGAGTACAAAAAAGATGCTACAAGTGAGGAAAATCCAGTGATCTCAGGGTGAAGGAATGAGTCCCCTCACAGTGTACTCTTTCTAGGCATGTTTCTTGTTCTCTAAAGTTTCCAGTTTATATACACATACAATCAGCAATTCTCTGGCCAAAGTAAAGTCCCAAGGCTTGAATTCTTTCAGGGTCTTAAAGGCCAATGAGAAATGCCCCAGGCAGTGACTGTCAGGCTTTCTTTATGATTCAAGGTGGGAGTGACTTGTAAAAGCCCCAGTGAACACTAAAGAGAATGGGGTCAAATGAAAGGGAGAGAGATCTTAAATCAATAGGGAAGTCGAGGAAGGGAAGAGGGAAATTCGAGTGTATTACTACATTCCTAAGTGTGACTAGATAATAAGCTAATCAATGAATGGATGTGAAAGTAAGTGTAAGGAGTTAAGAATTTGTTTAAGATTAGTGCAGGGTTAGCTCAAGGCAGCACTTTCCTATCTACTGGCAGGGTGAGTCCAGGGCACACCTGTCTACCTGAGGGTTGTGAATCAACAAATTCAGACATTCTATGTCCTTGGGCATCTGTGAATGTCTCAAATGAGATTCTTTTACCTGGACACTAATATTGACCAACTGTCTGCCAATAAAGATAATTTCAGGAAAGCAGACTTCTAAGTTTATATTGGGAAATGGAACAAAGGTTTGAATGTATGACCTACTTTCACACATTACTGGGGGAAGTTATCCAATATACCAGTGCATAGTAGAAATTGTGCCCAATAAATGATTAATACACTGCTAAGCTGCGGGAAGAAATCCCTAACTTGTAATAGGAGGGAAGGAACTATGGCTTCACACAAGAAATCTGCAATAAGAAATCAGCCAATTCATTCAAAAGGCAATTATTCCACTATGCCTTAGAAGTTGGTTTAATCCTCCATCAAAATATCCATGTTTCTACTAGGTTGATGTTCTAAATAAGAGCTGAGGTCTCACTGCATACTCTTGCAGCCAGCAATAGCTCATGATAATGGCTCCTGACATACAGGTATTCTCATTTAAACTTAATTACTTTTTAAAGGACTCTGTCTCCAATTATAACCACATTCTAAGTTCTTAGATGTATGGAAGTCAACAAATGAGTCTTTGGAAGGACAGAATTCAGCCCTCCATATTCACAACTGGAATAAGAGGGTGTTTGGGTTGGATGTAGATTGCCTACACCCCCTGTAAGGACAGAGGTTTCCATGGCAGGGAATGTGGGAAGTCTTCTGAGTTTAGAGCAGAGCATGCACCATAGAGAAGGTTGTGCAGCTACATCATGGGGATGTAAAGGTGTCAGCAGGAGGCTGAGGTGTGTGGGTTCCTTAGATAGGAAATGGTGTGTTATGGAGTGCTTTGAAGATGGAATAAATAGAATTATCTCTGGGTGTTGCTGGAGGGCTTCTCTCCAGGTTCCATCAAGCCCCGCAGTCCCACAATCCACATATAAATCACTCAGACGCTTATATTACTTATAAACTGTATGGCTGTGGCAGGTTTCTTGCTAACTGTTCTTTTATCTTAAATTAACCCATTAATCTATAAATCTATACCTTGCCATGTGGCTGGTGGCTTACCGGCGTCTTTACATGCTGCTTGTCCTGGCAGTGGCTGCAGTGTCCCTCCCCCTTCTTCCTGTTTCACCAATTCTCTTCTCTCTTTGTCCCGCCACACTTCCTGCCTGGTCACTGTCCATCAGTGTTTTATTTATATAGAGCGATATCCACAGCATCTGGGACCCTGGGTGTGGTGGCTGAGGGAATGATTCCCAGGATCTAAGTCCTTCACCCGGGGAAGAATGAAATAAAAGAAGTGATGTTTCCTTCTCTCAAGAAAGAAGTCTGCAGCTGAAATATTTATAGAAAAAAGTGTAAGGGTTAGATTTTTTTCATTTTAAAAATTAGTAAGAGTTTCACACTGACTGAATAACCCCAAGAACCGTATAAGGACTGTCCCATTCTCATGACCTAGGCTCCTGGCTGTTGAACTCTACTGCACTCTCTGTCTGTCCTTCCTTCCCCTTGTTCTTTGTTTTGTTCTGACATCACGGTCCATCACCCTAAACACTCCTGCCCGTCCCTCCAAGAACCACATCATCCACCATTGCACCTTCCCAGTGAGGAAGTCAACACCTGGGGCCTTGTCACCTTCTAAACTGTAGACTCCTCAGGTGTCACACCCTCCCTGTCTGTCCCTCTCCTGTCTGCTTCAGGACACTCTAAGATCAAGTTCTTGTTATTTTCAGTATGGAACGCTTCTCTCTGTCCCTGTGTCTCACGCCATGGCTAGTCTTAGTGCATCGCATGGGTCATCCTAAGTGTGGTTCCTCCCAGTGTTCTGGAACAGACTCAGGCCTGATGTGCTGTGTTCTCCTTGGTCCCCAACACTCCTGGAAGTGCATCCTAGTGGTACAATCATTTTAATTTTTTAAATTTTATTTATTTAGTGTGTGTGTGTGTGTGTGTGTGTGTGTGTGTGTGTGTGTGTGTGTGTAGCATGCATGTAGAGGTCATAAGAAAACTCAAGGGACTTTGTTTTCTCCTGCCACCAAGTGAACTCAGGTCTTTAGACTTGGCATCAAGTGTCATTGTCTACTGAGCCATCTTGCTTGCCTGGCTTGAGTCTTGATCATGGGATCATGCTGGTGCTTGCTGGTTATATTTTATGAAATTGTAGCTTATCCTCTGTGACTTATGAATAGTCCTTCTGGGAAAACAGTCAGCTATTATGTCATGAGTCTGCCCCATCTCGTCTCCACCAACCAGTTGTCCTGCTGGAGTTCAAGGTGTGTACTATCATGCCCAGCTCTTTCACTCCCTTTTTCTTTCCCTCCCTCCTTTCCTTTCTTCTTTTCTTCCTACCTTCCTTCTTTAATTCCTTCCTCCCTCACTCTCTTTTTTTTTCTGTTTTTCTTTTTTGTTGTTGTTTTGTTTTGTTTTGTTGTTTTGTTTTTCGAGACAGGGTTTCTCTGTGTAGCTTTGTGCCTTTCCTGGAACTCACTTGGTAGTCCAGGCTGGCCTCAAACTCACAGAGATCCGCCTGACTCTGCTTCCCGAGTGCTGGGATTAAAGGCGTGCACCACCACCGCCCAGTCTTTCTGTTTGTCCTAATGAAACAGAGTCTCATGCAACCTAGGTGGGCCTTGAACTCCTGATCCTCCCAAGTATTGGTACATTACAGATATGCCTCCATACCCAGCTTTTAAAAGAAACATAATCCTTTATTGGTTCTTTGGGAATTCTACATCATGCTCCCAAATCCCACCCAACTCCCAGTCTGTTGCCCCATATTCACAGTTCACCCTCATAGCACCCCCTAAAGAAAAATTTAAAAAGAAAAATAAGAAAATAAAAATATTAATTAAATTTAAACAAACAAAAGAATACAAAAGAAAGACAATAACAACTGAAACAACAGAACAAAAGAACAACAAACACTTCACTCCTCTGTCTCCCGCCTCCCCATCACCCCTTCATTTGTATTAGTGGCACTGGGAGCTGCAGCACATCATGGAGCAGACCCTTCTGTCCAAACAGCTTTACTTGTGTAACCAGTTGTTGGTGAGGTTCAAGGCCTCTGGCTCCTGGTACACCATCAATGCAGGACCCTCACTGAAACTCCTCTGGGATATCCTGCTGCTACCCTGAGTCATGGAGATCCTGCAGCTATGGATCTGCAGGATCACTATTCCCTACATGTGCTACAGCAGGTCACAGATGGGGTAGATGATGGGTTGGGCAAACTCAAAGCCCTGGATGTGTGCCTGGGTGGTAGCTGAGCTGGTCAGTCCAGGACACATATGTCACCATATCCAGCTTTTGTAAACATATTTTCAAAGATGTTTTAAACAGTGTTTTGGGGTTATTGGTTCTCCTAACAGAAGATATGACTTCCTGAAATGGTAGTTCAGCTTATTTTTTCCTATTGTGGAATTAAACCAATGATCAAATTCCAGGTTTGCCCCTCATTAACTATGACCCCTTGGCCTGCTGCTTGATCTTTTAAGCTTTATCAACAGGAAGGGGAAATTGTATTAAAATTGCCTCATGCTGATACTGTAAAAATTGAGATGAGGTTCTTGCTGAAGTGTTTATCAGGGAAAACAATGGTCAGTAATGTGAATCACATTATCAGAACATTGAAAACCAATTCCTGGTGAGGTAGAATATGTAAATGATTGAAGGGAATTGTGCATACAATCATAGTTGTAATGTTTGCTCTGTCATGGGTTCTCAAGCTTGAGTTAACCTGCTGATCATCTAGGCTTCCTGTTCATGACATGGATTCTTTACACTGACTCCCAGATATTCCGATTCAGTGTCAAGAAGACTGTGCAGGAATCTACATAGCAACACTTGTGTGGAACCTGAACTACTAATGTCCCACATTTTAGAAGTCCTAATCTTTTAACTAAATGTTTGGAGCTTGGTTTCTCTATCGGATGCATAATACAAGTGAGATGAAGTGTTTTTAAGGAGAATTCAAGCTGAAATGCAAACAAAGAGTATAACTTCAGGAATAAAATATTTTGTCGAGAATCTCAAGGTTCTGCTGTCCAGTTGTCTTTGTCTATGTCTAGGCTATGTCTATTCTATGTTGTCTATGTGACTTATGACTTTCCCCTTTTTGAACTTAGGATTTCTATGAGGGGACGGACAATCATCTTCTCCATTAATCAGGCTCAGTACTCCATCTTCAGAACTTTTGATAGCCTCACCTTAGTGGCCTCAGGAAAAGTCATGTATCATGGCCCTGCACAAGAGGCACTGGAGTACTTCACATCCGCAGGTATGGTTGGCTTTTGCTGTGAGAGCACCTTCATTCTTGGGATCTGGGAAGAGAACAGGGAGTACTGCTTTACCCTGGTGCAGACTTACTGTGTGTGGCTTCTCCATTTTAAATACCTTTGGTTAGTTTGGTGACAGGATTCTGTTAGCTGTGCAGCACAGGTTCAGCTCTCTTTTCTTTCTGCTGTCCTGTGTCACGCCTGGGTTGCAGTATTTTTCCTGAGCTTCTTGTTCTGCATCCCAATTGTGGTACCCCTCTTAATTAACATGCTGGCCTCAAGTCCAGTTATCTGTCACTGGAACAGCTTTGGAAAGCCCAGCATCATCCTGTTCTTGCTCAGGTAGCAGATGGTGGTTTTCAGTTTTCCCCTAGTGTGATCTGACTCTGAGGAGCTGTGGAGATGTTACTTAAGTCAGTTGTAACTTTGCATTTCTGGTTTAGGCAATGCTCAGGGGCTAGAGTGGCTTGACTCTGGCTTCTGTGGACTCATGTTTTTCATCTACCCGGTTTGTTCAGAGTCAGATTGGATGATGACATATTTTGCAATGGTTCATGCTGTCAGCTTCATCTTAGAGAAATATGAATATAGTTATGGAAGATTCTCTTTGACTACAAATATAGGTTTTAATATTTGCTGTACAATACTCTTCGTTTTTGGTTAATCTTTGTCATCTAAAAATGTGCAAACATTTGTGAGTCTATGGAGTCCAATAAAAAGTTAAACCAATTTCAAATGAGTCTTTCACAGGAAGAGTTCACATATCTATGTCTGTGCCTATGTCATGTCTATGTCCAGTCTAGGTCTATTCTGTGCCCATGTCTAGATTTGTCTATGACCATATCTGTGTCTAGTCTATTCCTATGTTTAGTCTATGTGTCTATCTAGTTGTCTTTGTCTATGTCTAGGCTATGTCTATTCTATGTCTATGCATTGTGTATGCTTATGTGTATATGTATGTATATCACCAATATAAACACACACATATACAATAGTCAGTGAAGCAGAGATTGCTGAAATATTATGGGTATATATATAAAATAGGAAAGGGTAAATTAGTGGGGGAGAGACAAAAAGAGGAATAATTTTGTTGTAGAATATTATTTCAAGATATGTTACTTTTTCATTCTGGAACATTTGTTTAATGATGCAAAGATGTGTTTGATTAAAGAAAATTCATCTGCAGTCAGGAGGCTGAGTCAGCAACTAGCTGACAGGAAGTGGTAGAGAGGAGCCAGGTGAGAAAGGATTTATAAGGAGGGGTGAGGAGAAGCATGAAGGCTTTTTGGAGGAGGAGAGCAAGGAGAGGAGGTGAGCTACTTGCTATTCAGCCTCTATGAAGGGCAGAATTCCACCTTAACCTTTGAATATTGAGTTCTTTAGAGGGACAGAGGATTAGTTAAGTTTCCTTCCTACCCTTTCAAAAGTCGGAGGCTGAGGGAAGAGAATTCCTTCTGGCTATGCCCTTGGAGCCTAACTCTGCTGCTAGTGGTGGAGTTGCAGTTGCTGATTTGGACAGCTGTGGCTTAAAAGGCAGCAATAATTTTAAAAAGAACACCAAAAAGCCTTTAAACTACATTCCTAAATGTAGGCAGCAAGGTCTATTCCCCTATTTGGCTACTTCCTCCTCCTCAAGTTGACTACCAAGGTCCAGCTATCAAAATATTGAAGTCTAGCAATCAAAAGCTCCCTTTGGCTCACTTAACTAACATTCTCAGTTAAAATTAAATATCTCGTTCTAACAGGAGGGTCCCCTTTTGCCTTTATAAGCCACTTTTTGCCCATGAGCCATGCCTGTCTCCTCTCTATCCAAAGACAGTTCTTTGTTCCTGTAAATACCCCTTCCCTTTCTCTCTTGCCCCTTTTCTCTTCTCCCTTGTTACCTTCCCTTTTCTGGGGCAAATGAATCTTTTTTGTGCTGAGAACTCGATCGTGGGGGTCCTGAGAGGATATTGATCTCTTACAGACATGTTATAGTAAAAAGAAATGAGGTTCATTCCTGCTCATGATTAACCCTCTGTTTCTCAAAATTGGGCTATGCTTCATGTTGGGCTCCAAATTGTTGTCGCTGTGTGTAAAGACACAGGTGTATGTGTTTAGGTAACTCCAGGGAAAGAAGACTCAGAGGCATCTTAAGAATGAATCTAGCCTTTCACGGCTGTAGGGGGGTCCAGCCTAGAAGGACTGAAGCACTTTTCCTCTGTCTAGGGCATTTTTATTTCTCTCTAATTACAGTTTAGCCAGTTAAATTCTGTATCTTCAAAGCAACCTGAAAGGAACTCCTAGAGATAAAATGCCGAGTGCATATGACTTGACTTCTCAGGTACCATGGTTTTCTGAACCAAGTTTTACATAAGCCTTTGATCCTTGGGAGAGTCTGTGAACTTTGACTCTCAGACAAGATTCACATAGGTCTATAAACCAAATTCAAATGATTCTATCACAGGAAGAGTTCACATATCTATGAACAAGATAAAAGAAACAAAAGGTGTGGTTAAACAAAGGAAGGTTAGGGCCAGGTGCTGCTCTTTGGAGCCAGGCCAGGGGCTCAGCAGGAATGCAGCCACAAATTGTTGTTGTTTGTTTTTGTTCTTTTGGGAGGCCTGCCACCAGCTCCCAAATAAATCACAAAGGGAGACTTCTTCTTAATTATGAATGCCCAGCCATAGCTTGGCTAGGTTTCTAGCCAGCTTTTCTTAATTTAAATTATCCCGTCTACCTTTTTCTTCTGGGCTTCTCCTGTTCTCTTACTTCTGTAAATCTTACTCTTACCCTGTGGGTTGACCTTGTAGCTGGGTGGCTGGCCCCTGGAGTCCTCCTCCTTCTCTGGCTCCTAGCTCTCTTCTCCCCCCCCTTCCATTTCTTTCTTCCCACTATATACACTCTCTGCTTGCCAGCCCTGCCTTCTTCTCTCTCCTGCCTCACTATTGACTGTTTAGCTCTTTATTAGACCAATCAGGTGTTTTACACGGGCACAGAACACAGTTTCACAGAGTTAAACAAATGCAACATAAACAAAAGAAACACAGCTTAAAATAACATTCCCCAATAGAAGTTGTTAGATTTTGTCTCCCCTCCTCATCCCACTCTCTGAAAGAGGGTCCTCAGGTTTGTGTTCTTGGCCAACTTCTTTGTAGGTTATGAATATGATTCCCACAACAACCCTGCAGACTTCTTCCTGGACATCATTAATGGAGGTTTCTCTGCTATATTAGACACAGAGGAAGAAGGCCAAGATGGTATGTGAGTCTTTTAGAGACACAGGTTTTTGTTTAACTGATTTCATGAAAACACAACGGTGAGTCTCATTAGAATATAACTTGTTATGTTAAATAACTGTCTTAAAGTTTGCTAATAGCCGGCCGGGCGGTGGTGGTTCGAGGCCAGCCTGGTCTCCCAAGTGAGTTCCAGGAAAGGTGCAAAGCTACACAGAGAAACCCTGTCTCGAAAAACCAAAAAAAAAAAAAAAAAAAAGTTTGCTAATAGCCATTGCTGTAAGTTAGTGCTGGGTATTTTTTTATTTAACTTATAAAAGAACATTTATATGATATTGTCACAAGAGAAATTTCTGTTAAAAAGTAAATGTACTTATTATTTGTCATATTATTCTTGTTTTTATTTTAGATAGTTTGCTCATGTAGTCAGACTAGATTTGAATGTGTGCTCTTTCTACCTCACCTAACAAGTGTAGGTATTACAGAGATATGTCACCATGTTTGGCTTTATTTATAACATTTTAAAAACAAGATACTTGGCAGTTTATACATTTGCATATACATTCTCATGTATCAAAAAGCAGGGACCAGACTTTTATTTTAAGAAGTATAGATCTATAGGGAAGGAAGACTTTGTTAAGACTTGGGGTCCAGATGGGAAGAGGTCATTCAGTTTGCTGTGTCCATAGGATAATGGCAGTAGTCAGGTCAGTTAGGGACACTCTTCTAATCTGTAAGGAATTACACAGGGGTAATTTATTTATTTTTTTATTCTCAAAATTTGGTGGGTTGAAGATGTAGTTCAGCTGGTAGCGTCCTTGCCCCGCACAAACAAAGTCTTGAGTTTGGTTCCTAGCAGTGCATAACTGTGTGTGAAGTCCATGCCTGTCATCACGGCACCTGAGACAGACACAGGAGGACCTGCAGAAGTTAAGGTCACCCTTGGCTTCATAGCAACTTTGAGGCCAGTCTAGGGTACATGAGACTGTCTCAAAGAAGAACTGATACATAATTTATATTATTCATGAAAAGTGTCTCAGAAAAATCAGTTAAATTATTGTCTGTTTCTTGTCTTTATCCACTTTTATCCGAAAGCTGACAAGTATAAAGAGCATTCTCAGAGATGGCACCAAATCCCCCAAAAATTAGCCAATATGTATGCCAAGTCCTCCTTATACAGAGAAACAAGAACTGAACTGGATTCACTCTTCGGGGAACAGAGGGCAGAGAGGAGCTCAGCCTTGGAGGAGATCACGTGTGTCACCCCTTTCTGGAATCAGCTTGGGTGGATTATCCATCGTTCATTCAAAAATTTAAAGAATTTTCAACAAGTCACTATGATTCAGGTAATGTGATGAATTATTTTAATTGGATTGTGAAAAACTCAAGTGGGAACAATTTGTTTCTGAGTCAGTCTATTTCAGGTCACATTTATCTTCTACTCTGTTCCATATATTTGTCATTTCCACTTGGCATATATTCAATAAAGCAAGTAGAACGTGATTAACTTTTTACTTAAAGAAAACATTTTTAGTGGTTGTTTTGTATTTAGAGGAACTATAATGACTAATACCAGTAGGAAATTTAATTCAGGGAAGGTAACAAGAAATTCAGCACACCTGGGAGTTCCTCATACCTGTCTACTTTAATTCACCAGTGCATCCTACAAGTTCAAAGTCCAGGAATGAGTAAGGGAGTCAAAGGCTTTTGTTCTGATGTAACTTTTCATGTGGGTGGATGGATGGTAACTGAATAAACAGATACAATTGTAGCATGTCAGATGACAGAATGGACTTTGGAGAAAATTTAAGTAGGAAGGGTGGAGGTGACTGGGGAGGGAAAGGGGGTTGATCTGTAGTTGAAATCATGGGATGAGGAAACAGGGCCATTGATCCCCTCTGAGGGAGCCTGCACATGCACTGCCTGAGAGATGAGCCCATTGCAGAGTGCTGTTCCCTTATTGGAGTCCAGGGTGAAAGCAGAAGCCACTCAGAGTGCAGTTCACACACAGATAGTGACTGGACTCAACAGTGCTCTTCCCTGTCAGCTGACTGGGAACTGGGAGGAAGTGAGGTTCCACTTTTCTTTAAACTGGCTCTGTAACAAGGATCATCATGCCTAAAGAATTTCTGTTATTTAGCCAGGCGGTGGTGGCACATGCCTTTAATCCCAGCACTCGGGAGGCAGAGCCAGGTAGATCTTTGTGAGTTCGAGGCCAGCCTGGTCTACAGAGGGAGATCCAGGAAAGGCTCAAAGCTACA